AGCTTGCGTGAGGTGACTGGCAAAGCTTGAGATCAAATAGGGTCTAACAACACCACTGGAAAGCTGACCAGTCTTGAACCTCCTAACTCCACAGCTAGTTACTGAGAGCTTTGAGCCGAGAGCTTGAGCCAAAAGGCACAGGCTGTCCAATTGGCCCTTTCTTGCTTCCCTGGTGCTTCCCTGGTGCCTCCCAGGCTGTCCAAATGATCCTTGCCTGCCTCCCTGGTGCCTCCCTGCGGGACGATACCGTGCTGAGCTGTGTGCTGGCACCTTTGGACTCGATTAGGGGTAATCCTTTATGGTTACGCCAAGGGAGTGGACTCTCGCATGGACTGATGGGCTTGCATTGCAGCTGGACTGGTAGGCTTTCCCTACCAGTCCCACAGTTCATGGATATCGTTGCGGCGCTCTCGCCTGTTTAGGGTTTAGGTTTAGGGTTTGCATCTTCGAGCGGGCTCGCTTCGCTCGCCCTCGCGAGTTGTTTTTTCCCACCCCCGCTTGCGCTCCTCCCACGTCTCAACCTTTTCGGGTTTAGGGTTCATTCGAACCCTTGGCGGGGGCCCGGCGCAAATTTTCATTTTTCGAAGACAACTTCCACAAGGTCGCGCCGCCAAGTTCGAGACGCGAGCGGAAAGTCGGAACGAGCGAGAGACCGAGCGAAGTTCTGGCCGAGCGCGAAGTATGAGGGTATCTCGCTTCTAGCACAAAGTGGAGATATATATTGATGCCGACGCGGGCGCCTGACGAGAGGGCTTAGGGCAAGAGTCCACGGAGAAACCGGCACGCAAAAGATCGTTGTTTAACCGGAGACAGCCGGCGGTCTAGGTGCCAACCAGCCGGTGGGTTCAGATGCCAGCAAGCCTTTATTAAGCGAATTGCTCGACCACCGAGGGGCCACTCTGGGATGTGCAACGAAACGTGCGTGCCGGTCGCCATTGAAGTTTGCTCAGAACAGCCTGGGAGGGACCAAGAGGCAGGAGACTAGTTGGACAGCCGTCCTTTCCTGCCTCCCAGGTGCCTCCCTGGTGCCTCCCAGGCTGTCTCCAGGCTCTCCAATTGGTCCTTTCCTGCCTCCCTGGTGCCTCCCTGGCTTAGTCCTTTCCTGCCTCCCTGGTGCCTCCCTGGTGCCTCCCAGGCTGTCCAAATGGTCCTTTCCTGCCTCCCTGGTGTCCAGTCGGTCCTTTCCTGCCCCCCTGGTGCCTCCCTGGTGCCTCGCAGGCTGTCCAATTGGTCCTTTCCTGCCTCCCTGGTGCCTCCCTGGTGTCTGCCAGGCTGTCCAAATGGTCCTTTCCTGCCGGAGACCCGCCGGGATCTGCCCTTGCTTCGGGTTTACCCTCCGCTAAGCAAGTTTCAATGGCGACCAGCCCGTTTTGTGCCAAATCCGGGGGTGGGCCCTACGGCCGGCTTCCCGTACCGCAAAACGGAGCGCCCGTGGCACAGAATTGCCTTTCGAAGGCTTTTCGTAGCACAGACCCTTCTTCTACGGCCCCAAAGGTTTGTTTTGGCCCGGGCGGGCCACCCCACACGCAAACCTAAAACGGGTCTTCTCTTTTTTTCTTGCGCTCGGCCGCTCGCTTCGTTTCGTTGCAGTGGCGTCGGCTCTGGAGGGTGTGTTTTAAACTCGACCAGGTTGGCCGAAAAAGAGCTCGACAAGAAAACAATTCATGCTCGACAAAAAACGAATGCAAAGTCTCGACAAAAGTTGCTAGTTACAAGCCCGACAACCTGAGAAGGGAGGGAACGAAGCTTCACCTACTGAAAAAAATTATCCGTTAACACAAGAATGAGCAATTAAGGAGTTGCAAACTCTGTGCAGCCGCTTTTTCACCGGTGCGCTTTGATGGTGGCCACTCGCTCGTCGACCTCCTGCAGAAAAAAGTTTCCGGATGTGCTTTGCAAATTTGGGGTTGTGAAGAGTTCGCAGTCGCTCCTGAGGTTTCAAGACTGCTGTCTGCCAGTCTCCGTGCACGGATTGACTCAAAGAGTCAAAGTTTCTTCTTTGTGCCAACAGCAGTCTATTTTTGATATGGAATCTTTGCTTTTCAATATTGCTTGAGCTTTGATCGTCTTAGAAGAAGCGCTCATATGCCAAAAAAAGGCGCAAAAAACAAAAGGAACATAGACAAAGCTCTCTCTCTCTCTCTCTCTCTACATCTCTATCTCTGTCTGCGTGGTCCTGTGGAGTGGAGATGAAAAGTTGAAAAAACGGAAAAATTAAGGACATGTAAAGAAAAGTGTCTGTCTCTGTGTGGTCCTCTGAGTGGTGTTTAAAAAGGGGCTTTCAAAAAGCGTAAAACACGTAAGGAAAGGTAACAAAAAGCCGTGCCATCTGTTCTTTCCCTTTTCTATTTGCTTTTCTTTTTGATTATGTTTTTGGTAAGCGTTTTGCACATGCCTTTTTGGATAAATTGACATGGACAAAACGTGCGCTCTCTTTGTCTATACACATAGACCTCTCTCCCTCTGTCATCCTGTGAAGAGGAAATGCAAAGCAACAAAATCAGCAAATGCAAAGCGAATCAGGAAACACGGCAAACAGTGTGCTTTGGGGGGAAATGTGCACATCGCACCAGGACCAGCGTTGCGCGCTACTTTGCTTCCGCTGCAATGTGTGCATATTGCGCGCGTTGAACAACAGGCATTCGTTTGACCTTGGGGGAAAGCGCCAATGGCTTCTCGCCTTTTCGATACTTCTGAAAAGCCAGAAGTTGCGCAGTCGCGTAGCATCGCGCAACCAAACCCCAGAAAAGTAAGAAAGCGTGTGTTGCCGAGCGCTGCACCCAGCGCAGTGCACTGCGACCTCACAACTAGGCACGCAAGCATGTTTTCCAACTGAGCATCTTTGACATGGCCCGCCCTTCAAATGTCTACCAGCTTAGCAACTCGGTAGCAGCGATTTTTCCACGCAAACTCAGGCCGCGCGGCGTCTGCGCGGTGTGAGAGCTGCCGCCTCGGCGTGCTCGTCGGGGGCCGCCCACAGCGCTTCACGGGCGTGAGGAAGTGGCGTGGGCGTAACCTTCCTGACTTGCCACCATTCCTCGCAGGCCCAACCGTGGCTACAATGTCCCTTGTGGCGAAAGTGCCAGCACGAGCACATGACTCTTGGCTGCCTGATGATGAGACAATACTTGTGAAATAGAGCTCGGTATTTCTCCAATGAAAAATGCAAGTGGCGCTCGGGGCTCTCTTCCACGATCAAGATGCTCTCGGCAATGAGCAGGTTCTTCAAAACGTCCCCCTTCGCCTGCGCCAGCTTCACCACCTTGTCGCCCAAGCCCGCGGGGAGAGCCTGGGTGCAATGAGATAAGGCACTTTTAAACGACTTCCTTTTTCTTCGCTTTTTCCTTCTTTTAGGCACCCCTCCGTAGGACCACAGAGCGAGAGAGACGCTCCTGCGCACTTTTCTTTACTTTCTTTGACAAGTTTTTACGCTTTTTCCTGGGAGAGAGAAGCGCCTTTCTTTACGCTTTTTTACGCTTCTTTACGCTT